AAATATCCAGTATATAAGTGAATGTATAAAATTGAAAATGGAAATGAATAAAACATTTAAACCGAGGACAAGCTGCTATAATCACAGAGGGTGTCATGAAAAAATAAACTTTAGGAATATGCAAAAAAAAAAAAAAAAAGATACCACCAGGGGAGACCAAATGACAAAAACCCTGAAAATGGCACTTCCAGCAGATCTATGGTTCAATGACAATAAAGACGCCCTGACTATCAAAGATGGACTGGCATGGAAGGGGACTAAACTGTATGTCCCCACCAGCTTAAGACTTCAAATCCTACAGCACAGCCATGACTTTAAACTAACTGGACATTTTGCCTACTTGAAGACCCTGCACCTAACCAGGAGGCAGTTCTGGTGACCAAAAGATATGGAAGACTATGTAAAAATCTGTGCCACTTGTGGTGACATGAAGAAAAGAACTGGAAAGTCCCCTGGGTTTCTCCAGCAAGCGGCAGACTCAAGTAGGCCCTGGGAGGAAATTGCTGTGGACTTTATAGTCAAGTTCCCAGAGATGGCAGGAACATGGTCATTTGGACCATGATTGACCTATTTTCAGAGCAGCCCCACTTGATTTCCTGCTCAGGGTTCCCCTCAGCCAAGAAGCTAGGTAGGATGTTCATAAAGCAAATCTATATGTTACATGGAGTGCCACGGAGGATCATTTCCGATAGAGGGATCCAATTTACGGCAAAATTTTGGAGGGAGTTCCTGAGGGCCATAGGGTCCACATAGGGGCTTAGCTTGGCTTTTCATCTGAGCATGAAGGGCGCGGCTGAATGAACGAATGCCATGGTGGAGCAGTACTCCCTGCTAAGGCCGGTGGACTGGGCAGCCGCAAAGCCTGTTGTAGTACAGGGGGAGACCCATTATGAAGTGAAAAGGATTTTAGAGTCTCGCTTACATCAGGGTGTTTACAATACCTAGTTCACTGGAAGGGATATCCCTTATTTGAGGCTACCTGGTAACCACCTGGAGTTGGGACTTTGACCTGGTTGGACCATGTGATGGACATGTGGACTGTGGGAAAGAACTTTGATTTTTAATTTGGGTGGGGAAAACCTTGGGACTTTCAGAGTCGGGTTTTCACTAGATGTGACAATATGACATGTCTAATAAAATTGGACTTTGAGGAGCACCTTGGCCTTGGAGTTTTGATTGCATTGGGTCTGTTACCTGGAATCCTGACACCAGGTTTGCTTTTATGTCATGGCTTGAATGAGCAATTAAACACAAAGACTTCTTTAAAAACATAAAATTTCTTGGAAAGTTGGTATTTAACAAATTGTAACAGAGTTATCATGATTAGAATTTACAGGAATAGAATTACATGGCTTAATTTATTAAATGCAACTGATGAAATTGTTCAGAAGAGGCAAGAAGAGTTAAACAGCTGAAATATCATAGAACCTAATTGTAATATTTTGATGCAATTGTATCCAGCCTTTGCAGTGCAGAGCAGGAATGAAAAATAGTAATTTCCCCAGGCCAATTAATAGAGAGCATGAAAGTACTGAGGAATCATATAATATTTACTTATTTATATGCAGCACTGTATGGCATCTGATTTTCCAGAGAAATATGATATTAAATATATGCTTGGGTAGCATAATATTTTTTTCAGGAAAATCAAATGCCATATACTCACTTAAAATTTAAATACAGATTTAACTGAATTAGAGTTAAAGGTCTGTGATGAAAGGTATTGATTTTCTTTGCAATTATAGTTCATTTATACTTCTTCAGCATCTTGGCTAATATATCTGGAATGCCAGGCACAAATTTCTAATTTCTTCTACTGACAGATTTTTTTTTCTGTTCCGAATGTTTTAGTATAGTGTGACCAAATTAGAATTTGTTTAAATTAGACTTGACAGAAGTGGTTGTTTCAATTTCTTCTTTAAAATGTTTAAAAATTATTACTGTTGAAATAAAACAATGAGTAATTTTTATACAATAATTCTGTCACCTTTTCAGCCACAGTTATATTGCACTTATTCAGAATGTGTACAGTAATAATTGTAGAAGTTAAATTTAATTAGTTCATAAACTTTTTATTTCCTTTTCTGTTTGCATGAAAGTTGAAATGTAAACTTTACAAGTCAAAAACCAGCATAGTACAATATGAAATAGTTTTTTTAAAAAAATACTTATTGATGGAGAGGGGGAGACATACAAAACCAGATGAGGTTCAAGGATATACCTAGAATATAATATCTGATTAAGACCCTGTTATTCTATCACCTCTAAAATATGATTGATACAGATTTTTTTTCCTCCCCTGTAAAGGTTTGATAATTATGTTACATGACTGTGATTAGATTGGCATATATTAATCAAACCACATGTATGTTTTTCCCCCAGACATTTCAACAATCCTCTCTTCAGCATAAGTCTAAAAAGAAAAATAAAGGTGAATATTATGTAAAATACTTCTTGTACATGTGGTGGCAAATAAAATAATATTGTAAGTTATATAAAAACATTTTAAGTTTAAAATAAGTATCCAGGAAGTCATGATTTTTATTCAGGAAATGTAATTTTCAGTCTATTTCTATTAAAGAAACAGCCTTTTCACTGGTTTTCTTTTTGATCTATAGGTATTCAGAGCGCATGTGATTTAAAAGATATGTGAGCTTTACATAATTATAACAAGTCACATCCTTAAATATTCTTGCTATCAGAGAAATATGTTGTGCCTCAGACATAGCTATTAATTAGTGCACGGGTGTGTGAAGTTTTTCCCCCCAGAATTTAGCCTTAATAATAATGCATGGCAGAAAAAAAGATTCATGTTAGACTGAAAGCTTTATGAAGGTCAGAATATAGTTTTGCTGTATTAGATTCAAATAGTCAAACTGTGGCAAGATCATAGCAAAAATGACTGAATAGCATCCCCACTCAAATATATAGCCGTTATGACTAGCATTCTTTGCTTTTATGCATACTAGTTGAAGTTTCCATTTCTCCATTCCTTAGTAGTTCAGACACATCAGTGTGTACCCTTTAGGGTTTATATTTTGTAGATGGCATAACTTTGTATATGTGCATGTTAATTCGTTTTCCATTTTAAACTTTTTTTTTTCAGGTCTAGCACCTAGTAAGAGTAAGCGACGGATTTCTTGTAAAGATCTAGGTCGTGGAGATTGTGAAGGCTGGCTGTGGAAAAAGAAAGATGCTAAAAGTTACTTTTCACAAAAATGGAAAAAATACTGGTTTGTTCTAAAGGAAACCTCCCTGTACTGGTATATCAATGAAGAGGTAAGAAATAGACATAGCTATTTCTCTTTTACCCAAACTAACAAATATATAAACATCGAAGATACAACGTATACTTATCTAGAATTTTCTTTATTTTAATTATTTTTACAAGTAAGAAGTACTCCGAAAATCATCATTTATTTCTTCAGCAGTAAAAAAAAAACCTCTTATAGCATGAAAAAGTAAATGGAGCACAGATTGTGTACAGTTCATCCCATGCATATATTAAAAATAATATTGAATCATAAAGAATTAAAGCAAATGAAACCTTTGTCTTTGCTTTAAAGAAAAACAGTATGCATGTATTTTAGGAGGGAACTGGAAAATACTGTAGTCATTAATTGAAAGACATGCATTTTCAAGATTCTCTGACTGTTCTGTACACATACTGGTACATCCCACTGCATACAAGGCAAACATGAATCCTATACATTGTAACAAATTTTTGTACCAGAACAAATCTGGGATTTTTAGAGCAGGTTAGAGGTGGTCTCATAAAATGACTGCCAGTGGATGGGCTTGCATAAACTGGTTACCAGAGTAGTAAAGCCAATTACACAACATTGAATGAGATTGTTCTATAAGTAAAAGTTGCCTGCTTCTACTAGTCATATGTAGAATTCACTGTCCTACATAATAATCTCAATTTGGGGACAAATGTGATTTTTGGTATAAGTATTTTTTTAAAATAACTTAACTGTTCTTTTAGTTCCGCTTCTTGGAAAACGTAATATTGTTAGATTGATTATAATTAAGCATAGAAGACTGTGACTGGGGAAGAACTATGAAGTAAAATTAGAGTCTATAATATATACTTGAGTTTAACATGGAAAAGAAAAAGGGGGGGGAAGATATGAAGACAAAAATAAACGATTGGTCAAAAGACAGTAATTAAAGAGAAAATTGACAATTACCTGTAAAGTGTGATAGCTTAATATGTTGTAAATATATAGTTGAGGAAAAAGATATTCAGAATAAACATTCACATAACTTCTTACAGCTCAGACAGCTATGCTATCTTGTCAAAAATATGATAACCATAGAGAACATAGAAATATAGAATTACTAGATCTAGAAACTGGATCTCAGAAAGAAAAGTCTGATTGTAGTTCCAAATATAATAGTGACACAAAAAATTTAATTCTAAGTAAAAGCGATAGCAGAAATAGATGTGAAATTCAAATTTTATTCTGGATTTTACATCATATGTTCCATGCATCCATCCATTTAGTAAGCCATGCATAATTAAGATGTTGTGCAAGTGCAGGTAGTGTGATTAAACCATCATGGATTAATTTGTTTCCTGAACTCAGTATTGATTTGAAATAACCAGGTAATATTTTGACTGTAGACTTTTAATATCTTTAAGTCTAGATCTGCAATATACTGCAATATTCTACCCACAGAATTCTTATGTTAATAGAATTTAAGTAACATCTTTTGCACAAAAATTAATTTAATCAAGATTTTTGGTAAACCATTATGACTTATTTCATATATTATGCCATCATTAATCATTCCATCATCTGAATTCTCTCACATCACTAAGCCAAAACAAAACTGTTATTTCATACTTTTTACTCTTACCTGTAACACAAGGTACACATTTTTTGTTAACGAACTTTAACTGACACTATGATCCACTTTTTAGCAAGATTTTTAAAGTGATTCTAACTGAAGTGATTATTAAATTAAAGTTTCTCCTTTTGGGGCCAAACAAGTTATAAGTATACTTGCATTTGTTTGTTTATTATTTGTCTGCTTTTGGTTTTTTTAATGTATTCATTTTCATAGGATGAAAAAGCAGAAGGATTCATCAGTCTACCAGAATTTAAAATTGATAGAGCTAATGAATGTCGCAAGAAGTAGTAAGTATTGTAAATTAACAGTTAGAAACAGTAGACAAAAATGATGTCTTTCTCTATTTTAACCTTTATTTATTTGAATTCCTTTATTATTATGGTTGGCTCACAACAAGTTGATGCTTATATGGATTTTGCACGTTTATCCACTTATTGGGTCTTTATTATTATTTAATGTGTATTATATAATACTAGATAAACCTATAAAGGTTTATCATTGCTTCTTACAGTCCATTTAGAAGGTGAAGATAAATAGTATAACTCAAAGCGTAATATAGATCTTTAGCTAACCTTTATATTACCAAGATAATTTACAAATGATTTGTTCATATTAACAGACACTTATTTCTTTTGTAATACCTTAGAACTAGGCTTGATGATTTAACTGAGGACTAACTTTTCAAATATTTTCAGGCTATGGAACCTGCTAAAAAATAATCCTGAGTACCTTTGATCGAGAGGCAACCCTCAAATGTTAGAAAATTAGCTGCATTTGAGTGAACTCCCCCTCCCTTAATCTGTAATGGAACCCTCTCAAGTTCTCATAAAAGCCTAATTTCCATGAGATGCAGTTTGAAAAATCCTTATGTAAATTTGAAGATATTGTTGTACTTTATTGAAAGAAAACAGATCTATGAAATTTGCCATTACTGTGAATGATTTTATATTTAATAGATTGTCAAAAACGTACTCCTTCAAGTTGAAGCCCAAGAGAAAATGGTTAAAAGAGGAAGAAAGGGAAAAGAGTTATATTAGTAGACTAAAGAGAATAGTAGTAAGATTGTTATTGTTATGTAACTAATTAAAAAATAAAGAAATGATAGTATATTGTTAATGGTAGAAAAAAATTGAAAGAAATACTCTCTATGCTTAAATTGAATTAGAGGATGTATGCTGTTTAGAACAAAATATACCAATGGAGAAAATAAGAAATGGAAATTTGGTGTAACTTTGAAGAGGCAATTGAAGATATTGTTTATGTATTAAGAAAAAAATAACTATAAAAATGGAAAAGAATAATTTGGCTGAAAGTGAAAACAAAACTATGATGTAAATGGACTAGGTAATGAAAGGATGTAAAGAAAAGACCCAGACAACTCTTTGATCCTATAATATGTATAATTTGTATTAAAAAAAACTTGAACGCAAAAAAAAAGAAGTTGACATATATAGAGATGCATCTGTAGAATTACAACATCAGGCCTATTGAATTCACTGTGTTCTTAAGTAGACTCATATCATTATATATTTTTTTATTATGTGATTACACATGCATATTTCAGTTAAAAACAGAAATAGACATAAAAATATTATTGATGTCAATTTATAAAAGCAGTTTTTTCTTACGAAAAAGAACATGAACATGAAATTCAGAAAGAATGCAGAAAATACAAAATGTATTTAGTATTTTGTTATGATTTTTTCATATTTTTTGTGTAGTGCATTCAAGGCCTGTCATCCCAAAATCAAAAGCTTTTACTTTGCTGCTGAACATCAAGATGACTTGAACAGGTAATTCATTCTAAAAGATTAACATGATATTTTTATTTTATAAATTTTATTTTATATTTTGTGTTGCATATAATTCAAGAAAATACACTAGCTATGAAAATATAGGAAAATATGTAAGATAATTATATTTCATTCACAAAATGCTATTTGTGTGTGTCTGCTTTTATCTATATACATGTACACAGTGTAACATTATAACAGACACATATATACAGGTCTGCTAAAGATAACTTTTGAGTATTAAACTTTCTGGAAGGACAAAAATCTTCTGGATTTAATGGGTGATTTTGGGTACAACAATCCTGATATATTCACAAGTAGCAAAATTCAGTAGGCATCCATAGCCAGTTCTGATGATAGAAATAGTGTATAGTGATGTCACAATTTAAACTCCCATACTATCTCATTGCCTCCCAACATGATACATATACAGGTAGTCCTGGACTTACGACCACAATTGAGTCCAAAGATTTTGTTATTAAGAGAGACATTCGTTAACGGAGTGTTGCCCCATTTTACAACCATTCTTGCCACAATTGTTAAGTGAATCACTGCAGTTGATAAGTTAGTAACTCGCTTATTAAGTGAATCTGGTTTCCCCATTGATTTTGCTTGTCAAAAAGTTGCAACGACTTTCGAAGACAGCAACGTTCATAAGTATTAACCAGTTGCCTAGCATCTGAATTTTAATCACATGATCATGGGAATGCTACAAATTTCGTAAATGAGAAAAATGGTCATGTCACTTTTTTCAGTGCTGTTGTAACTTTGAACAGTCATTAAATGAACTGTTGTAAGTCAAGGACTACCTGTATAGTTTTCCAGATAGAGGAAATCCAAAAGGGCTGAGTTCAGAGATTTTATAGACTGATTTCTAATGTTTTTGTAGGTATTATAATGTTAGTTTAAAAAAAGCTTTTAAATTAATGCTCATTGTTATCCATGCTTCATCTTTAAGTATACTTATAGTTTATATCAATTATGAATATTTTTCAAATGTGTGACCTCTTAATGCTAAAATTGAATATTCCCTAATGTGATGTAATTAGGGTAATGCTGGTAACAGTGCTAATATAGGAATTTTTTTGTGCAAAGAACCATTATTTATTATTTCAAAAAGGTCTAATTAGACAGACCAACATATTTGGCACATATGCTGTAACTACCCTGTTTTCTTCTGAACTGATGATGTTGTGTTTACTCCATGACATTAAATCAAGAACATGTGCATAACCCAATTCTACTATGTATTGTTAAAACATGTAGCATAGTTCAATATGTTCCAATATATTCAGATCGTTTTGTCTTCCAACAGATGTATTCTCCCTGTTTTAGCCAGATTATATCTTTCAAAATGAAGACATTTGTGGAATGAAATTAGCTTTTATAATGAAATGTGTATTTTACTCTTATAGTTAAAATATTATTACAAATTACTGTTACTAATAACAGTCCTTAGTGGTTCTCTATGCCGCTAATTTATTATGAAACAATAATAAAAATTATGTATATCACATCATGTTAGTAATCTCAGATTATGGAAAAGAGGGTTATGCTGCCTTTTCAAGTATTGTTTAAATATCTTTCTACTCTTCTTAAAATGTAATCGCTTCAGTATGGATATGAAGCCTACCATATTTAAAGAAATAGGTTCATAAGGCTGAGAGCTAAAATTCAGATTGTCTTTTTTTGTTTAGTTTGCCTTGTTCCATTTTGTTTTGCCTATGAATAGACCTTTGGAAATATATAAGTATGTTAGCTCTTCAGGATGGATTAAATCAGACTCCACAAGTTTCACTGGAATTCTACTTTACTGCTGGAGGTTATAGTATCAGAAACTTGAGAGCCTGACTGCCTGTTCCCCCCACTCTTGCTTTAGCTTACTGAGTTTCTTTCTCACATTTTCTCTTTTCCTGGGCTTAAAAATGTCTATTTTTGTAACTTGTTACCACATGTTTTTTCCAAGGCATCTGTGAGGTTATCTACAAATACCTCTTACACAGTGGTTTTCATGTGATGCTTCACAAAGGGCTGGAAGCTATATTTGTCACAAAACATTTACGAGGAAGCACACTGATCTATTCACTTCTCACAATTTGTTTTAGCTCCCCCCCTGCTTCCTTATTACCTTAGCTTATTTTCTATTTTTTTCTGAACAGCTGAGCAAATTCTTTGGGCTTACCTAAAATCCTGATATAACCTGGAAAAGATTATGATGGAGTCTGCATTTTTTGCTTTGCGGCATATAAGCTTGCTATTCTATTTTTGTAGTTTGTTTAAAACTAACCATGGTATAAAAACTATTGTATTTTTCAGAGTATAAGATGCACCAGAGTATAAGACACACCAAGGTTTTGAAGAGGCAAATTTTTTTTTAAAAAAATTGCACTCTGCAAACCTCCCAAAAAGGGCTCGTTTTTCGTGAAAATGGGCCCATTGTTTTTTTTTTTCAAAAAAAAAAGGGCATGAATAGCCCTTAGGAGGCTTGTAGAGTGTTCCAGGGGGGTGGCCAAAAATGAGTAAAAAATGGCCTGTTTTTTGCGATAACAAGGGGCAGGATTTCAGGAGGCAAAAATGCTGTATTCAGTGTATAAGATGCACCCAGATTTTCAGCCTCTTTTTTGAGGGGAAAAGGTGTGTCTTATACTCCGAAAAATACGATAATAGATGTCAACAGATGTCTATAGATACATTGTTGCATTCTTAGGCAGGGGAAAAAATCCTCAAAATTTTGTTGCATTATCATTTTTTTTTACCTATAGAAGTCATTAAGTCTTACAACCAATTTCATTGTATTTAAGTATAATGAGAATAAAGATTATACTTATACTGTAGGTTTCCATTTATGATTATAAATATTCAGCTTAACCAATAGGGTCCACTTTCTTCTTTCATGGCAAAATGGAGTAAGACTTACCTTTCATTTCTGAAACTATTATTTTATAATATTTCTATGTAATATGTCTACAACAAAATATTACTGTTAGAACAGGGGTGTCTAGAAGAAACTGGATTTCTTCAAGGGCTGGATCAGCATTATAATTCTCTTCTGTGGACCTGCTGAGGGGGGGAGATGGGATGGATGACTCCTGCAGCACCCTGCGGGCCAAAATGGGGCTGGGGGGGGGCATGTGTGACTCCCCTGCACCCCATTTTCTGCTTAGATGGCCTCCTGCAGCACTTTGCCAGCCTATGTCCCATTTTGGCTGGCAAAGTGCTGCAGGAGGTCATCCAGGCAGATAACGGGACACAGGGAGCCACACACAGCCCCCCGCAACCCATTTTTCACTGCTAGAGGCACCGTGGGCCAGTTCTTTGCTATTTCCAGGCTAGCCTGTGGACCAGATTTAAGCATCCCGCAGGCCTTGAATTTTGCACCCCTGTGTTAGCAGGACATAGAAAGCTGCAGAAATGTTGGTGGTATTATGCCTTTAATTTTCTATGACATGTGTCACAAATAGAATGTAAGGTGCTGGCTTAGAAACTGGAAATTGAGTTCTAGACCTCCATAGGTATGAAACAAATTGGGTGACTTTGGACCAGTCACTCTTTTTCTTAACCCAGCCCACTTCACAGGATGGTTGTATGTTCATTATCTTGAATTCTCTCCCCCGCTCCCTCTATCCCCCCCTCTCTTCCTGTCTCTGTCTCTCTCAAGGCAGAATAGAAATCTAATAATAATAGTGAGTTGATAATCCTGACAAATCTATATAAAAAGAGGTCTAAATTTACTACATAAGTATTGGGTGCTCAGACCCATATTTAAATGTACTTTCTGGATAATGATAATACCAAAAATGTGCAGGTTAGAGTAATATACTTGTTATCTCTCTCAGTACCATCAGTATTGTTTCACTTCATGCTTCATAGAGAAGTTATTACATTTAATAGAAAGGGATTCCTTACCTTTCCCTGTTTAATGCCTTCAATTGTATCTGTGTTGTTTTAGTACTTGATTCATTAACTTTAGCATTAAAAGGAACATACAAAACCATTTTATATTTAAAGTTCTTGTTGGTATGATGAACAATAGTTTAGATAATTTAACTTCTGTTAAAAATAATAATTTAGAGAAGCTTTCAATATCTTAAACTATTTTTAATGCTTAACTTACTGAAGACCTAATTATAAAATTAGCAAGGAGCTTTGCTGTGTAGATCTTATCCAGATGTTTTATAGCTTTAATAAATGTCCTATAAACGTCAGTCATGTCAGTAATTCAATAAACATGTTATTTCAGGTGGTTGAACAGAATTAATATGCTTGCTGCTGGATATGCAGAAAGGGAAAGGATCAAACAAGAACAAGGTAAAAAGTTAATGACTTAGTGAAAATGAACTATTATTTTAGAAAATGCATTACAATATTCCTTCACATGCAGACAGATTAGCATTATATAGCAAAGTGTTACAATTCAAATTCATTTTCAGTGCTCATGTCAACATTTCGACAGACAACCCCAAGCAAGCATGCATGAGCGAGATGATCCAATCTCTGAATGCAAAACTTTATTGAGTACATAATTTCGGCATTGGTTAAGGCAAAACCAGATCTAACTAATTCCCATGCAAACCCACATAATTAAAAAGATGTCCCCTGGGACATCTTTTCCAATTGGCCTTACGTTAGAGCCCTGGGCTGGTTTCAGCAAACTGCAGTGGAATACTGGATGTACCTTTCCCAATATCTTGGGCAATTTTAATACTACCGTGACCGAGTTGATCACCTTCACTATGGGGAAGGGTCCTATATACTTGGGACCTAGTTTCCTGCTAGGTAGCTTCAGCTTTAAGTACTTCATGGGACAGGTACATCTTGTCTCCTATGTGGAACTCCCCTTGGGGAATACATTTCTTATAGGCTTGCTTTTTCTGACTCTCTGTTGCTCTAGCTAGGGTCTTTTTTACATTGCCCCATGCATTCTGGAGATAATCTACCCACTCCATTAGGGTTACTGATGAGGATAGTTCTCTTGGGTACTCTGACATAGGTACAAATTCCACCCCTGTAGCTATTTTAAAAGGGGTGGGTCCAGTACTACTATGCACCACATTAATGTATTTATTTAGTATTTAGTATTTATTATGCATTTATAGGCCGCCCTTTTCCCTGAGGAAAAAGGGGAAAGGGAGTGTAGGACAAATACAAAAAGAAATGTGAGCGAGAATAAATTAAACAATAA